CCTCACTTTGTCTCCCTGGGTAGAGTGCTGTGGCATGATTGCTCACAGCAACCTCAAACTCTTGAGCTTAAGGTATTTTTTTGCCTCAGCCTCCCAAGTAGCTGGGACTATAGGTGCCCACCACAATGCCCAGCTATTTTTAGAGACATGGTCTCACTCTTGCTCAGGCTGGTCTCAACTCCTGAGCTCAGGTGATCCACCCGCACTGGCCACCCACAGGCATGAGCCACCTCACTCAGCTCATTTTTTTTTCTTTTTAAAAGCTTAGCTTCGCTGCTATACTTTCTTTATAGTAATTTCATTCAAAGACTCCTATTTTATAGGGGCTTAGTAATATGTGTATTAGGGGGGTGGATCCCCTAGGCTTTTGACACTTCCTCATCTGCCCCTTTCACAGAATTCATCAATTAGTGATGAATTCAGCCGTGGTTACCCCAAATCTACATCCTCTCTCATTTTACCTTCCTTCTCTAGTTCTGTTTTTCAGGTCATCTGCATAGTGCTTCTTTCTGAGTGTCCCTTAATCAAAACATTTACATAGCTGAGCTTCCTGTGCCCATATTATATCCTGTATTGATCTCTCCCTCCTGTGGACTCCCATGGCACGATTGTCTAGACCACCTGCCTGGCACTTACCATGTAGTGCTTTGCATTATTAGTGTGACAGTAAGCAATTTGGGTACTCTGTGAGTTACAAGTACTCACCTAGGAATTGGAGCACTATAAGGCTTTCTTTTGAGATGCAACATTATAGAATTTGAAAGAACACAGGACTAAATAAGTCTTTTAAACCTAGCTAGGTTTAGATGTTAACCCTAGTTTGCCACTTATTGGCTCTGAGGGTAGGTCAATCTTAATTTTTTTTTCCTCTCGTCTATACATCAAGCCTTATAATCATTCCAACCTCATAGGGTTATTGTGAAAGTGAAATGAGATGTGAACAATTCAAAAATGAAATTCTCATTTTAAAGTTGTTTCTTTAACACAAATGTCTTCCAAATTCAGATTCTCAAATTCCAGTTATACAGGCTTTTCTAAGGGGCAGGTGGCATTTTACCTCTATGTCTCATCTCCTGTACCAGACTGCAGGCTTCTACACGTACTGTGCCTCTGTCCTTATTATCCTCTTTGGTATACTCCTGCCTTTTGGAGTGTGAACTCTGATACAGTCACAGTCCTCACAGCCTTCCCATTCACACAAAAATGGCTCTGTCCCAACACAGATCATCTTTAAAGGAAACTGACAAAGCAAATGAAAAACTTCATTGCATCTAAAATCTTAAAACAGATCATTTGCAAACTTTAAAAACAAAACCTTTTACAGTTAAGCCTGTACTATACACAACCTTAGAAAGCATATTCATTGAGCTATTCAACAGTTTTTGAAAAAGTGACCCCTCCCTTACCTAAATTTGCTTGTCATCGATTCCTGCTGTATATGGATAATCTTTCTTCTGTTCCTCCATGGTCAACATCAGTGCACCAATTAAAGTCTACAAACCACCAGGATAAAACCTGGAAAAACAATAGTAACAGTTGCCATTTTTTGAGTTTGGTACTTTTGTCCTATTGTACTCAAGGCAATCTTATGAGAAGCCTGCGTCTCAGAGAGGTTAACAAACTTGCCCTAAAGTTGGAAAAGTTGGGAAGCTGCTACAAAGACCCAGATCTGCTTGGCTCTGTTTTAATTTTGTTCTTTGAACTGCAAAGTCTGGACTCCTTTGAGCTATCTGAAGATGGTGAGGCTGGTGAGGTCTGAAGAGCCCAGGCAGCTCTAGGGACTGCAGCTCCCTCCATCAGCTCACTGCCAAGTGCTCACCCGCTCCTGGCGTCTGGTCTCCTCTCTGCTTGCTGCCAGTCAGCTTCCTGTTTACTCATAGTTTCTGCTTCCTCATAACCTTGGCTTGTGTATGGTTTTGGCTTGTTGTGGCCTCCAATCCACCCCCGGCACTCTTGCAGTTTCTGCCCCTTTACTATCTGGTTCAACTCTTGGCATTTTCTGGGTCAGATTCCCAAGGGTGAGAAGTAGATTGGCCCTGCTTATTTTTTCAGTCCCTGCCAGGTCGTAGGTCACTGGCCCGTCTGTGGATGGACTGCCCTTGGGTCAGATTCCCACAGCTTCTTTACCTACCAGCTGAGGTGGGGGAGGAGGATGTTGTAGGACAGCCCCAGACAGCGAAGTCTCTGTTTCCCTTCAAAGATGATGAGCATCTCTAGGACAGATTCTTACCATGGTAATTTGGAACTTCACTGGACTACTTCTTACTTTCTCTGTTTCAAAGGTCAAGAAATTTTTCCAGATAAATGTCACCAGGATCTATACCAATAATCACTCTTACAAGAAGGCACTTGTGAATATAATTGACTATGTATGTTAGTATACACTTGGCTTCATATTTTTGTTGCTTATGTTAGATTCTTTGAGCTAGAGTGACTATTATATTTTATATTTTTGAGGGTGGATGATCTGTCTTCTCTCTTTATAATGCTTTATTTAGTTAAGAATATAACACTACTTTTGGACCTTTTGAACCCTGGGGGGCATTTAAAAATATGTGTGTGTGTGTGTGCGCGCAGAACCTTTTAAATATTCTTATATGTTTTGGTTTTTAGTATTCTAATTTAAATTTTATTATCACTTAAAAACTTTTCCTGGTAAAACTGTTACGGGATATCCAATCGAGTTTTTGCATTCTGGATAGCATAGCATCTGAAGTATCATGGCCTTTGAGTAGAGTCATAGAAAAATTAATCTATGCTGTTCTTTTGTGGTTTAGATTGTGGTTTCCTAAGAGACCAGTCATGACAACTGAGGTTGTATGTAGATTTTTTTTTTCCTATGGATGACATCTGAACTGCTGAGGGTCTTGTACAGTTAATTCTCAGGAAAAGGTTACCTATGACTTGAACAGTTCTAACTAAAATCTTCTGTTTTGCACCTCTGCCTGATAACTTTCTGTAAAGGATTCTAGTAAGAGGAGCAAGCCAAAGGACAACAAAAACAATTGTCAATGCATGGAGAATAACAGACGTCGTTCTGACACATACATTCTCAGTGGATGCTCATTGTGCCGTATCTGACTTAATCACTTTAAAGGACAGATATTTTACTGTGAATTTTTGTAGCAAGTTCTTGCTTGCCTCTTGTGCACCTAGTGTCATGCCCAGAATAAGTTCCTTTGCTGCTGTTTTTTAAATGAAAAGACTTAGGACTTGTATGTGTATTTTAGTGTATATATTTTTTAATAGGTGAGACTTTATAATTATCATCCCTTTTGCTGAAGAATGTGGGGAGAGCTCACTAAATGACTAAGTCCCCAACAGGATATCTAGGAGGAATATTTTTCCAATTCCTTGCCGCTGGAAAAGCCTTTGAATGGCCACAGGTTTGCTAGAAGACTCGATTTCCATAGGGGACAGTTTGTTTTCCTTAAGGCAGGCAGAAATTGTGTGCCTTCACTTCTTAGACAAGTTAGAATTTTTCATTGTCATGGCAGATGAGCCTTTCTTGGAAGGTGTTAGAATCCAGAGACCAAGGAGGAACTCTGTTTATTCACCGCAGTGACAATACTCAGTGATACTGTGGAACAAGCCAGCTTGAAAAATGGCAAGCCTGTCCCAGTGGCCTATCCAGAGACGGGGGGTTCGCCCGTGGGAGTTGTCGTGAGGCCTTCTGCATTGCACAGGTGCGGGGCTTGATGCATCCACGTAAAGGCAGTGGAGAAAGGGAGAAAGGGGGCCGCTTGAGCAGTTTTAGGTCATTTCAACCGGGAAACAAAGGAAATTACCTCTTCCCTTTATCCCTTTTTGTGCGGAGTTTCTCTGTCCCTTGAAAAGATCCCATTTGCGTCTCATCTAATAACTAACATAAGGAATTACACTATTTCAGTTTTCAGGAAGGAGAGAGGGCTAACTAACCCACGGATGTAAATGCTTTTCGCTGTCTACTTGATACTGTCTTCTTGAAGGAAAGCTTGTAAACTCTGGCATAGGAGTGAAACACGAAACTTTACCAAGAGCGTATTTAGGTGAGAGGCTGGGGAGTGGAGACCTGTTTTCCTCTGCTAAAATCTTAGCCTATGAATTGAAGGAATGAGATTTGCAGAGGTTTGGTGGAAGGCTGGTTTGTTCCTGGAAACAGGAGTGATTGTCCTCACCTTATCTGGGGGAGGCGGATTGGTACAGTTTGGAAGATGAAACGAGGGAGGGAAGACCTGGGGGTCAGTTTGCTTCCTCCCCAGGTGCCAGAGTGATCCCCGAAGCGATGTCCTTACAAGGGGCTTCGAGCTGAGGTGCGAAGCTGCCACTGGGGCTTAGGCTAAAAACCGAAGGGGAAAAAAGGACAGAAGAGGGGGGTTGGCTACTCCAAGGAATGTGCGGCATGCGGGGAGCCAGACCCAACCATTGCATCAGAGCGGGGGCGCCGGCGGCTCCCCGGGCCGCGCGGCCCGGACCCCGGCCCCGGGCCGGGGAGGGAGAGCGCGGG